ACTGCAGGGGGTGGCACAGGGTGAGGATGGCCATGGGGTGACTGCAGGGGGTGGCACAGGGTGAGGATGGCCATGGGGTGACTGCAGGGGGTGGCACAGGGTGAGGATGGCCATGGGGTGACTGCAGGGGGTGGCACAGGGTGAGGATGGCCATGGGGTGACTGCAGGGGGTGGCACAGGGTGAGGATGGCCATGGGGTGACTGCAGAGGGTGGCTGCTGGGAGCAGTAAGAGGAAAACCTACTGAGCATCTGCTCCTCTGGGTTTTCCAGAGGCTGGAGGAGATTCCCCTCCTAGGGCAAACTGCAGCTGATTTTAGACCAAAATCTGACAGTCCCCATGCTCACCACCACCACATTTCCTACCTTTCCATATTCCAAATGTTTCTGGTGTCCCAGGGCTGCAGGGAATTCATGGGGGAGCTGAATTTCACCAAACCCCAGGAGAAGTGGCCTCTCTGCCGAATTTTCTAGCAAAGTAGTTCCTTATTTCCCACACCCTCAGATTGTCCTTCCTCCCATCCCTTGCATGCACAGACTATGAAATAAATAAATGAATTAAAGGTGACTACTGCTGCATCTTCCCAAGGCAAGGAGAAGGTCCTTAAAGCCAGCAAAAAGGGATTTGGGATTATTTCTTTTTTTAACATTTTACTTTTTTCCCCCTCATTTTTCTTTCAGCAATCATCATTTTACCAACTCCTGCACGCGGGCTGGCCGGTGAGTGCCACTTTGGTCACTTTGTGTTTGGACTTTCCCTTGGCAGCTGAGTTCTCCTTGCTCCAAGCACTTGAGTTTTACCAATCTTTTGGTTTTGTGTTTTTTTGGTTTTTTTTCTTTCAGAGAAAACCTGGAGCTCCTGGGCCCCCAGGACATCCTGGGAAAACAGGAGCACCTGTAAGTACAAAAGCCCTGCTGTCCCCTTGGTGGCCCTGCTGCCACCCTGGTTAACCTGGGGACACTTTCAGGCTGTGGCTGTAATTAGGGGCTTTGGGATTGGGTTTCAAAGCAGCCTAATGGATTTCTTGTCTGCTTCCCACTGAAACCCGGGATGTTTGATATCCAACTCCCAGGGTTTCCTGGCAGCTGCAGCCCCTCTGTCTCTGCCAGCTGATCTGGACTGGCTTCATTTCCTGGGGCATCAGGTTCCAGCCCTTGTTTTTGGGGAAGGGACCATGTGGATCCCTCCCAGAGGCACAAAAACAAGGCAGGGAAGGGCAGGATTTGTGTGGGGCCGGTCTGTCCTGGGGCCATGCCCACCACCCTGGCACTGCTGGGTGATGCTTGCCCCACATCTGGCCATAAGGCAAAGGAGAGGAAGGGAAAATTCCCTGTCCTGACATCCCATCAGGAACCAAAGCAGTGGAGAAATGGATCTGCTGCTGGCTCCAGCCCTGCCCTGGGCACAGACCTTGGCACAGTGGGGGTGCCAGGGATGCGAATTCTCCCACTCTGCCCTTCCCAAGGTCACCTCTGGGCACTGCTGCTTGTCCTCCCAGCCTCCACAGGGCTCGGGACAGAATGGGGGGACACCCTGGGGGACACCCTGGGGGTCACCCTGGGGGACTCAACCCCTGTTTGTGCACAGGGACCCTGCGGAGCGCCGGGAGAGCCGGGGGAGAAAGGCCAGCGGGGGTACACGGTGAGTGAGGGCTGGGGGGGTGTGGGCACACTTTGGAAAGGCTAAACGTGCCCTCAGGGCTGCCCTGGGACCCTCAGGAACCCTGCCCCTGTTGGATCAGCCCCTGGCTGAGCGAGGCAGAGTCGTGCCAGGGCTGGGGACAGTTTGGGAATGGTTTGGAGGTGATGGCATCAATGTCCTGGTCCCCTCCCAGCCGCTGCTGTGCCAGGCAGGGGTGGCTCTGCACGAAGTCACTCTGCTGCTGCTCCTCCTGTGCCTGCAGCACCAGGGATGGCTCAGTCACAGCCAGCACAGCCCCTCTGGCTGCTGCTCCAGGTGATGCCCTGTCCCAAAGTCCTTTTGTCCCCCTCCAGAAACCCCAGCTCTGGATGGGATGGGTGAGCTCTGCCTGTGCCCCTCCGTGGGGATCCCTGATGGGATCCCATTTCCCCTGGGAGTGCCCAGCTCAGGTCCCTGTGGGTACAGGGAAAGGAGAGCCCTGTCCCACTCTCCCAGATTGCTGGAGCTCTGCTCCACGCTGCTCTTCAGCCTGCCTGAATTCAGGATTGCCCTGAAGCTTGAGCTGGTGGTGGATCCTGAGATGGATCTGCTCTGGCTCCTGCATGTGGGAAAGGATCAGGAGCTGATGCAGGAGCTTTCCCTCGACCTTCTCTCACTGGATTGCTTCTTCCCTGCCCTCCGTGTTGCTTCCTGCTGTACAACCCCTGCCCCCAACTATCCCAGGGTTTTGGTGGAGACCCTGGAAAGATCCACGTGCCCAACACTTGCAGGCCCTGGATGCAGGGAGCTTTTCCCCAGCTCCAGGAGCCAGAGGCAGGCAGAGCTCAGAGTTTCATTTGCTGCTTTCATAATGTGGATTTTTAAATTTTCTGTGCTTGGATTTATTTCCCCAGGGGGAACCCGGGCTCCAGGGCTTGCCAGGGCGTGTGGGATACCCCGGCTCCGATGGTTTCCCTGGCTTGGATGGCAAACCTGGGCCATGGGGGCTGCCAGGGGAGCAGGTGAGCGGCAGGGCCAGGGCATGGTCAGGATCAGAAGGAAGGATATTCTTCCTTCTCTTGCCTCCTTCAGAATATTTCTCCTCAGCCCCCAAAGCAGGCATGCCTGGATTGGTGCCTCGAGGTTTCGGTTTCCCAGGAATAAAAGAGTTGTGGATTAAGGGGCTGGGATAAGCAGAGCTGCAGCTCCTGGGTGTGGTGGGTCTCAGCACCAGGGCTGGGCTGCTGCACCTGGACCTCCTCGTGGGAAAAAACTGCAAATCATGGAATGGCTTGGGCTGGAAAATCATCTCAGTCCACCCCGTGCCATGGGCAGTGACACCCTCCACTAGACCACGGTGCTCCGAGCCCTCAAGGGCTCAAAACCTGGAGGGTGACCAGGAAATGAGATTAATTCCAGAATGCCTGGAGACTGTTCAATCCAGGAATCTGCTTCCTTGGTCCCTGCCCTTTTCCACAGCCCTGGCAGCAATCCCTGGGGATTCCAGGCAACGCCCCTGACCTTGGGAGCTTTCTCAGGGTGGGTTTAGAGGTCAGGGATGGTGCTGGGAAGCTTGGGGCTCTCAGCAGCTGCTGGGGAGCAGGGTGGACACGGGTGGGAGGTGCTGGGCAGTTCCTCAGTGCCTGCTCTGCTCCTTCCTCCCTCTCCCCAGGGCCTCCAGGGCTTCCAGGGTGACCGAGGGCTGGCTGGGGACAAGGGAGAGGAGGTGAGTTGGCTCTGGCTTGCACAGTGTGAAGTGCCAGCCCCAGCCCGTGCTCCTGGTGCCAAACACCAGCACCTTTCATTACTGCTTTCACTGGTACCAGCACAGCTCCTGCAGCCCCTCCCTGGGATGGAAAATGTCCATAAAAAAGTGAACACTGGTGCTTTGCCGCCCTTTAATTTTTTAATTTTCCCATCGATTCGTCTTCTTAAGGCCAAAAGTTTTAGAGCTGCCCAGGAGATTTTTGGGCTCCTCCAGGCTCTGATCATGCTGGCAGATTTGAGACCTCATTTCTTCTCTCTGAAGCTGCGGTCCCACGTGGGTTATCAGATGTTCTGGGCCACCCTTGGTGCCCTCCTGCCTGTGCAGAGCCCTGTGCCAGCCCCGTGTCACTGCTGTGGGTGACACGGTGCAACAGGAGCTGCAGGGAGGGACAGCAGCCAGGCTTTGCCCCATTTAACACAACCTTGAGGGTCCCCACCGTGCTGTCCCACCCTGGCTGTGTCCCTCCAGGCACACTTTAACTCCTGGTGGCCCAGCTGGGGCTCATCCTTGTTCCCATTTCATCCTTGTTCCATTTCAGGGTTTCTTGGGAGACCCTGGACCAGCTGGGGACAAAGGAGAGAAGGGAGTGAAGGTGAGGGTGGCTGTCCCTGCCCTTCACAGCCCTGCCAGGGTGGGCAGGGGTCTCTCCCTCCCTGCCACAGCCCCCCAGGCCCTGCTCTCCTCCATTGCTCAGGCTGCTCTTGGCTTTTCCAGGGGGTGAAGGGAGAGAATGGGCTGCCAGGTGCTGCTGGCCTCCAGGTGAGTTACTTGGGGTGCTGCTGGCCTCCAGGTGAGTTACTTGGGGTGCTGCTGGCCTCCAGGTGAGTTACCTGGGGTGCTGCTGGCCTCCAGGTGAATTACCTGGGGAGCTGCTGGCCTCCAGGTGAGTTACCTGGGGTGCTGCTGGCCTCCAGGTGAGTTACTTGGGGTGCTGCTGGCCTCCAGGTGAGTTACTTGGGGTGCTGCTGGCCTCCAGGTGAGTTACCTGGGGTGCTGCTGGCCTCCAGGTGAGTTACTTGGGGTGCTGCTGGCCTCCAGGTGAGTTACCTGGGGAGCTGCTGGCCTCCAGGTGAGTTACCTGGGGTGCTGCTGGCCTCCAGGTGAGTTACTTGGGGTGCTGCTGGCCTCCAGGTGAGTTACCTGGGGAGCTGCTGGCCTCCAGGTGAGTTACTTGGGGAGCTGGAGCTGTCTCAGCCCCTCCTGCCCTGTCCCTCTCATCGATGTCCCCACGTTCTCCCGGCTTTGGCCTCTGTGTTGTCCCTGCCCCTGCTGTGAGGGAGGGGACGGAGGCAGAGCCACCTCGGGGTGCTGACACCTCATTCCCGGCTTCTCTCTCAGGGGATGGTGGGGCTGAAGGGCGTCATGGGCTTCCAGGGCCCTGCAGGACCAGAGGTGAGTGGATTCACCTTCTCTGCGCACCCAAAGGGCTGCAGGAGCCGGGGATTCCCACTGGGAAGAGGGGTCTTGAGGAGGGATTTACATCCATGCCTCCAGCATTTCCCATCCCTGTTCTGCCTGGGAATGAGGATAAATGAAGGGAAATGAGCTTTCCTAGAGCATTTTGGGATTTATTTTCGGTGGCCACCTCCAGCTGAGATGAATCCCAGGCTGGCAGCACTGGTTTTTCCAGGCTGCTCAGTGCTCCCACACAACTGGGAGACGTCCTGTCCAGGAAAGGGTTGGAAAAGGATTTTAAAGGAAAATGCAAGTGGTTTGGTGGTGAATGGATGCATTCTCCAATGTGAAATGGAGCTGGGGTTGGTCAGCAAATGTCCGAGGGGGCATCAAACAGCTGATGTGAAGAAATGTGAAAAAATGATGTGGAGAAAAAGGGGGATTTGGGGTGAAGGAGAGAACCAAAGCAAAAAATGGCATTTCTTTTCTCTCCTGCTGCAGGGAGAAGGTGGCTCAGTGGGTCCCCCGGGCCCTGCTGGTCCCATGGTGAGTCTCAGGGGTTTGTTCAGACAGCAGAGCTTAAAATGCTCTGAACACCTAAAAATGCTGCATTTGGTTAAAACCATCCCTGGTAGCGGGAGGAGGATTGCCAAAGGAGCAGTGGTGTTAAAACTCACCAGGAAAGCACTCCAGCACCCCCAGTAGCCCGGGGATGCTCAGAAGTGGCTGTCCCCCCTCCCCTGTGGGGCTGTGGGGCTGAGGGGGGTCCTGCCTTGCAGGGAGAGCCCGGCCAGCCGGGATCCGTGGGATGCCGAGGCATCAATGGCTCTCAGGTGCGTGTGGCCCGGTCCCCATCCTCTGTTTGTTGGGATTTTGGGGTTGCTGTGCTCACCCCGCCCGTGCCCTGCTCTCTCCACAGGGGGAGTTGGGTCCTCCTGGGATGCCCGGCCCCCGTGGCCCCAAGGTAGGAGATCCTGGGATGGGGTGTCCCGGCATGGGGGGTGTCCAGGGCTCACCTGGCCTGGCCTCCTGCAGCTGGGATGTGATCCCAACCCACCCCAAAAGCTGCTGGCTCAGGGCTGGGAATCCTTTCCGTGTGCCATGAGCTGGGAACTCTGCAGCTCCTCAGCGGCTGGGAATTCCCAGGAGAGCCCTGCAGGGATTTGATCCTAATGGCAGCCCCCTGTCCCCCCCTCTGCAGGGACCCCAGGGCCTGCAGGGCAGACGTGGCCCCCCCGGCCCCAGGGGCTCTCAGGTGAGTGGGTGCTGTCATCCCCCCAGTTCTCTTCCAGGAGCTGCTGGGATTTGTCCCCCATGAACTTTGGATGTGAAATCCCTGACCTCGGGGGTCCTTGTGGCCCACCAGGAGTGGGTGGGTGGGACCTGGTGGGGACATTGTGAGGTGTGAGGCAGCTCCTGGGGGCTGGGCAGGTTCCTGTGGGCCGGGGTCTGATCCAGAGAGGGAAACACCTCCCCCTTCTTCCCAACCTCCCCCTTCTTCCCAACCTCCCCCTTCTTCCCAACCTCCCCCTTCTTCCCAACCTCCCCCTGTCTTTGCTCTTCCCAGGGTCCAGCAGGGCTGGAGGGATCCGCTGGTCCCAAAGGAGACACAGTAAGAGCGTTTTTCTGGACTTTGGTGGGGATGAAGCCCAGGTTGGAAGGATTTCCCTGCAGGAATCTGACAACAGGGGGTTGAGGGGGTCCCTGTTTCTGTTTTTGGAAGGGAGAGGGGGCAGCACTTCCAGCTGATCTCCCAGATTCCACCTGCAGGACCCTGGGCACGCTGGGGAGGGGTTGGGTGCTCTGATGGGAGCCCTCTGGGACAGGGACAGCAGGCAGGGAACGGCTGGAGCTGGGCCAGGCCAGGCTCAGGCTGCACATCAGGGCAAGGTTCTTCCCCCAGAGGCTGCTGGCACTGCCCAGGCTCCCCAGGGAATGGGCACGGCCCCGAGGCTGCCAGAGCTCCAGGGATGCCCAGGCTGGGATGTTGGGGGGTCTGGGCAGGGCTGGGTGATCCTGGGGGTCCCTCCAGTCTGTGATTCCAGGGTTCCCCTTGCAGGGTACAGATGGTGCCCCCGGGCTGAGGGGACAGCTGGGACTGGAGGGCCCTGGGGTAAGTGCATGGGAAGGGGGTGGTTGGATGTGGGGTGCTCTCATCTTCCCCCTGACAGCCCCATAAAATCCTGCAGGGATTTGTTTCCCCTGGCTTCCCACAGGTCAGCCACTTCCCTGTGGCCACACTCATCATCCCCAGAGCTCCTCTGACCCTCCTGCTTTCAGGGACCTCGATTTTCATTCTTTCCCTATGGATTTATCAGCAGAGACAACCCAGCCCTGCCCATCCCTTCCCTGGGGCACCCTTTTCCCAAGGGGTTTGGGCACTCAGCTGCCCTTTCCAAAGGCTTGGGACCATCCTCCTGCCTGGCCCAGGTGTCCCTTTCCCGTGTCCTGGGACCCCGACCCCCAGAGCTGGGATGTGGGTGCAGGGTGGGATGTGGGGGATGCATTTTGGAGCCAAACAAGGACCTCACCCTGACCTTAGGGCCAGCCTTGGGAGGGTTTGTGACTCTTCTGGTCCCTTTTGGGGGAACAAATCCCACTGGGGCATCAAAGCAACCAACAGTGCCAAACTGGTGCCTCCCTTTTACCATCCCATCCCTGAACTCTGAGGAGGGGTTGTCACCTCCAGGAGCACATGCAATACTTCCCTTTGTGCTTTTCTTTTTTAACTTGCACTCTCTCTCCTCTCTCTGAAGGGTTTTTTGGGCCTGCCAGGTGCAAAAGGCACCCAAGGAGAGCGGGTGAGTGCTGGCATCCATGGGATCCCTGCTTTGGAAGCAGGAGAGCCGTGGCAGAGCAGCCCAAAGCTGCAGCTCCGTGTGCTTGGACTTGATGTTTGAATAGGTGGCAGAGCTGTTTGGGAAGGCAGAGCTGAGCTTGGGCTCCTTTTGCTGTAATAAGAGAAACTTTCAGCCTTGGGAGTGTCCTAAGGGTTCACCAGTCTTTGGGAGGCTCAGGGGAGGGGGAATGCTTTGGCCTGAAGGTATTTGTCATTGTTTTGGTGGAGCCAGAGATGCCACCAGAGATGGGGTTGGTGTGGGGAGGGTTGAACCCAAAAGCCCTGGAGCCTCCCCACCATGAGGAGCAGATCTAGAATGTCTGAAAGGCCCATCCTGAGGAAATCCCTGACTGGAACAGGGCAAAATTCCCTTTATTTGGTGCCAGAATCAGATCCCAGGGGTTCCCCAGTGTAACCTCCACTGCTGCTGCTCTTGCAGGGCTGCCGAGGTCCGGCTGGAGCCAAGGGAGATTTGGGATCCAAAGGAGGCAAGGTACCAATTCCCAAGGCTGTGGTGCCTCCAGCTGCTCCCTGGCTTGTCCAGATGTGCTTTACCCAGCCCTGGCTGGGTGGGTGAGGCTGCCCGAGGACCCTGCTGGGTTTTGGGGGCTGTGGCAGCAGTTTTGTGCTTATCCCACCACCTCATCTGTGCTTCAGTCTGGCTTTGGCTGTTTAAAAAACGCATCTCCCCGTGCCTGGTGCCGCGGGCGTGCTGGGGGAGGAGGGTTTGGGGTTCACCCACACCAGTGATGGGTTCTCCGGGGGAATTCCTGCCCGTGGATCAGGGAATTGCTGTCCCTGCTTTGTCACATTCTGTGTTTTATTCCTCCAAGGGCCCACGAGGAGCACAAGGAGCAAAAGGCGCTCCAGGAAGCCGGGGCCAGGGGGGCTTGCAGGGCTTCCCCGGCCCCCGAGGGGCGGCAGGGCCACGGGGACCAGATGTGAGTGCCACAGCTGGGCTGGGGTGTCCCAGGGGAACAGCCCAGGTGTTGTGACCTGTGTCACAGCACGGGGACAGCCCTGAGGGGCCACACGGGGCAGTGCTGATTTATGGGGTGTCTCCTAAGGGATCCCTGCCTGCTGATCTCTGGTAATTCCCAGCTTCCCAGGAAAAGGAAGATTATTTTCCCACCCAGCTTTCCACTCTGCAGGGGATGACCTCCCACTCCCAAGGCTTTTGGGAAACCTTCCTGGATCTGCTCTTTTGCTCTTCAGGGTGAATAACAGCACCTCCCACCCCTGCAGGGGATGGGGATGCAGCAGGAATCATCTCCCTGCCTTGTCCACCCTCCCAGGCAGCGCTGCTGGGGCTGGAGCAGGCAGGAGCCTTGGCACAGCACTCCTTGGAATTGCCTTTAATTTGTCCACCAGGAAACAAAAATATCCAACTGTGTCGCTTTGGGCCACACCAAACTGTTAGGATTTTTCTTTCTGCCTGTTTTTTTAACGCTGGGGGATGGGAGAAGTCCTCATTCCCAGCAAAGCTCAACTGGTGACATTAATTGACGTCACCTCTGGTCACACTCGCAGTGTTTTTCCCTCAAGCAGCAGCAGGCTGGTGACTCCCCTGGGACCAGAGGCTGTGTTTTCCCTGGATGATTCCTCCCCTCTCTCCTGGCAGGGGGAAGAAGGCCAGATTGGCCCAGCAGGGCTGAACAGCAGCGAGGGACCCAAGGTCAGTGCCAGAATTTGCTGCTTTCCCATGGGCTGCCCACTTCCTTGCATGGAAAACAGGGATGTGCCCACCCTGCCAGGGTCCCATCCTGGGCAGGGTCTCCAGACCCTTGGCCCCCTCCCCATCCATGGCATCCCCCTGACCTGCCCCTACAGATTTGCAATGCCTGTATTTTCCTCTGTGTGGATTTTAGGGATGCCAAGGACCTGATGGCCCCAAGGGAGCCCCAGGACCACGGGGAGCCCGGGTAAGTAACGGGGTGCTGGAATTTGGGGTTGGATCTTTGGCTGTGGGGGATTGAAACAACCCTGGATTGAAACATCCCTTGGCTTGGGATGTGCTGGGGCAGAGCACATCCTTCAGGCACAAGATTTCCCTCCAAGTCCGCAGCTTTGCCGCGGGCAGGTGGATGGTTTGGTGATTCCTGGTGTTTTCCAGGGCCGTGTGGGGCAGCGTGGGCTGGTTGGAGTCCCTGGACTGCCCGTAAGTGGAGGATATCCCACGTCCCTGTGCTGCCACGTGGAGCTCTTGGCTCTGGGACATGGGAGCAGCATCCTGGGATGTGGCCAGATCAGAGGGTCGGGAATTTGCACAAGAAAAGATGAGCAGCTCAGCCTGTGGCACGTTGCACTTTGACAAATCATCTGCCCAAAGCCACGACTTCCTCCTGGACAGAGCACAGAAAATTCCAGGGAAGAACTTTCTAAGGAAGCTCTGTTATTCGGAGCTGTGGCTGGTGAAGGAGCCAGGAATAAATAGCTGGGGCAGGAGGAGGGAAAACCCAGCGGAGACATCCCACAGGGATGTTATTTCCCATCCCGAGGTGGGATGGAGCTGCTGTGGGATGAGCTGTGCAGGGATGAACCCACAGCCCCACACACGCCAGGCAGTGCCACCGCTGATGTCCCACATTGTCACCCTCAGGGAGGCTCTGGGGCTGGAGGAGCCCTTGGTGGGGCCACCCTGAGACAAAATTCTCCTTGCAGGGCTTGCGGGGCGTGCCGGGAGCGGAGGGTGCTGAAGGAAAGCCTGGTACACAGGTTCCCATCCTACATCTGTACTTGGCTGGGGACAGGGTGCTGGGAGGTGTGGACAGGGACAGCTGAGCCCACAGGGACCCTTCCCCATGGCCACGTGGGACAAGACCTTGATTCCATTGACTTTGCCACGATGGGGACTGGGAGAGGCTGTTCTGCCTCCCCATCCTCATCCTCATCCTCGTCCTGCAGGGCCACCCAGGGATTGTGGGCAGCCCAGGCAGGAGGGGACCACTGGTGAGTAGAGCTGATTTCTGGCCTTCCATCCCTCTGCTCAGCTTTATCCCTTTGGGAATGTCCCTCCAAATAGGTCCATGGGATGGGGTGGAGCAAGAGCAGCTGGAGGATGCTCCTCTGGGAATCCTGCTGAGGGGAGAAGGATTGGGAACAGGGCAGTGGGATTTCCCACCCCTGGCACTGCTATCCTGAACAGATCCAGCAGCAAGACCGGGCTGGCAGCAGGTTTTCCCTTCTGTAGGATTTCATATATTTATCTTTGTTCTTTAATTTTAAAGAAACAATTAAAAAATAAAAATCTGGCATTTTCCTCAAAAGAGAGGATGAAAACTGGGTCAGAGACACACCTGAGTGCTGCCAGCATCACAGAGTATCCGTGGGTGGGTGTTGTGTCTGTCCACACACAGCCACAGTGATTCCATGAGGAATCCAGGAGCTGGATTTTAAGGAAAAGCCCCTCAGTCAGGCTGGGCCCTTCACCTGTGCCTTGGATGGGGCTGAGTCTCTCCATGCTCCTCTCCTGCCTTCCCTCCATGGCTCCTCTGCTGCCCTTTCCTCCAGGGATTTGCTGGTTTGCCAGGGGGCCGTGGGCACGCTGGAACTCCTGGATCCATAGTAAGGAAAACCAGAAATGTTCCTCTGCATGAATTGTGTGTTTTCCTTGGTGGGACGTCAGTGGGGCTGGTGCTGCTGCTGAGGAATGTGGGACTTTCCTTGGGAATCAGGACATCTGTAGGGCCTGATCTTACCTGGTTGATCAAAGACATTAAAAAGCCTCAGTGGTGGAAATAACTGGGTGCTAAGGAAGAGAAGAATCATTCCAAGCAAGGAACCAGGCTGCTCCAGGAACTGTGCAGCCTCCCTGAGCCTAGCAGGGTGTCCATGGGAAATGGCAGCTCATGGAAACCCTGCATGGCTGAGCAGGAGCTGGCTGTGGGTCCTGGCAGGAGATCCCAGGGGCAGAGGGTGGCACAGGTTCAGGGGGAGGCTGCTGGCACTGCCCAGGCTCCCCAGGGAATGGGCACGGCCCCGAGGCTGCCAGAGCTCCAGGGATGCCCAGGGTGGGATGTTGGGGGGTCTGGGCAGGGCTGGGAGCTGGGCTGGGTGATCCTGGGGGTCCCTTCCAGCTCAGTGATGTGGGATGGAGACCTGGAACAGCTCCTCCCTGAGAGCTGGCACTCAGATGATGCTGAGAGCAAGGATTGTCACCTTCCCTGGTGACAGCCATGGGGACTGCTGTGCAGGAGCCACCAGCACCAGCCACAGTGGCGGAGTTTGCCCCCTGTGACCCCTGGCCATGAGCTCAGGGGCAGCACTGGGGGCTCGGTGGGGCTCGTCTCCTCTCAGCCTTTGACTGACACCTCCCAAAATAATCCCAAAGGGCTCGCCAGGAAAGCCTGGACCTGATGGAGACCTGGGTTCCTTGGGCCCAAAGGTGAGAACTGGGGTTTGGGGGGGCTGGCTGGGGAGTGATGGTGGTGAACAGCCCCAGAGGCTCTGAGCTGCCGTGGGGAGACCTGGGGGGATCCCATGGACTCGTCCCAAGGGCTCCTCACATCCCGTGGGATCCCTGAGGAAGGGAGGGTGCCTGGCTGCAGCCCAGGGTTTGCTGATTCCCTTGTTTTGCCTGGCAGGGGCTGCCTGGGAAGCCGGGCTTGGAGGGGCCACAAGGACCTGTGGGCATCCATGTAAGTGACGGAGGGGACACGGAGGGGACACGGCGGTGGCCAGACTGGGAGGAGGCTGCAGCGGCCTCCAGCTGGGCACTCACCATCCTCCCAGGGCTCCTGCCTTTCCCTCAGCCACCTTCTCCCAAAAATACCGAGATGCCAGGCAGCCCCAGCTGCCTCCTGACCCCGAGCTCTTCCCAGGGCTATCCAGGACCTGCTGGAGACCGCGGGAGGTTGGGACGCAGGGGAGACAAGGTAGGCACGGGACACCCACTCCAGCACTGGAAGCATTGGAAGCATTTTTGGGATGAGTTTTGAACCCAATGGATGGGTTTGGAGGTGTCCACAGTCTCCATCAGCCATGGTGGAAGGAGAACAGCTGGATCTGTCTCCCACTCTAGCACCTCCTCTGCCCAAACACCTCTGGATTGTTCTAAGAGCTGGGTTTTGTTTGTTTCCTTGTGCTTTTTAAAGAGGTTTTTGCATTAAAACATACAGGGGAAAGGAAATCTTTCTTGCCCCCTGACAGGGAGAAAGGGGAGCTCAAGGTCCACCAGGATTTCCAGGAAAAGCTGGTCCAAAGGTAAGCGCTGTTTGCGGCTGTTCCGGGCAGCTCCAGCCCCCTGGAAAGCACCAAGCAAGGTCTGGGAATGGGAAAAATGGGAAATCTTTGCCGTGGGGAACTTCTGACAGTCCAGCTCAGCCAGGGCTGGGTCACTGGTGGTGCTCTTGTCCCCCAGGCCCTGCCAGGTCCCCCTGGTCCCCGTGGTGCTCCCGGCTCCCAGGTAGGGCTCTCCTTGCTCCCTGTATTCCTGGCTGCTCCGATCCCTCTGGGTGGAGGTGTGACCTGCAGTACATCCCCTGTGCTGCCTGCACCATGGATCCATCCCAAACCCCTTTTTTGGGAGCAGGCAGGACCCTGGCCCTGCTCCCTGCTGGCTGGGCTCTGTCCTGATCCTGAGATGGTCCCAAGACATGGGGATTTCTCTGGGCAAGCCTCACCCTGACCCCAGTTCCCCCGTTCCATGGACACACTGCTGAACACCCTTCTTTTCCCAGGGCAGAACGGGTGAGCCAGGTCCTCGAGGGCTCCCAGGGCTGCCTGTAAGTGCAGAGCTGCACCGTGCTGGGCTGGGCTGATGTCCCACAGCGTGGACATGGGTGCCCACTCCAGGCCATTTTCATCCCTGGGGTGGCTGTGGGGCAGGGAACAGCCTGAACCCCGTGTGTGGGGTGGTGACAAGTGGGGTGTGGGGACAGCAATGCCCTACACCTGCAGGGATGGGGCCTGGAGCAGGTGGCACCTTTGGACCCCGAGGTGACCCAACTGCATCAGTCACAGGGTTTTCCCTGCCTTAGCCCTCCCAGAGCTGTGTTTTGGGGGGGTCTAAGGGGCTTTTTGGCCTTGCAGGGCGTTCCTGGCACAAGAGGGCTGGATGGCATTCCCGGGAAGCCTGGCTTGGGTGGAGAGAGAGGCGCTCCTGGAGCAGCTGGTGCTGCTGGCCCAGCTGGGTACCCGGTGAGTGCCCCTCCACTGATCCTCTCAGGAGGACAGGGATTAAGGATTTTGCTGCAGCAGCACCTTTGGGGAGCTCCCTGAAGCACCTGCAGGAAGGGAAGCTTCCCAAGGAAGGAAAAGGGTTAGGGAAGCTGTTGCAGGGAGCTTGAGGAGCTGGAGCATGGGTTCTCTTCCCGTGGCGATGTGTGGTGTGTCAGGACATCCCAGACCCCACTCGGGAGCTGCAGAGGCTCCTGAGTCCAGCCCAAGCCTCTCTGCTGATGGAGGTGTTTGTTTCCAGGGCCGGGAAGGTCCACATGGACGTGAAGGACCTGCAGGGATGAGAGGAGAGAAGGTGAGGACAGGAGAGGGTTTGGTGTCCTGGGGAGCTGCCCAGAGCCTCGGGCTCGCCCCACTGACCTCCCCAGGGCTGTGGGGACCAGCACTGCTCCCAGTTTGGCCCCCAGCCCGTGGGATGGGGATTTACAGCTCGGGGAACTGAACCACCACGGCTGCTTGTCCTGATTTTGTGTCCTCTGCAGGGTGAGGTGGGAGATGCCGGGGCAGCCGGAGTCTGTGGGCTGGATGGGGAGCAGGTACAACAGCTGGGAACGGTGTCCCCACCCTGATGGGGCTGCTCCAGCCTCCCCCTCCCCAGTTCCCTGTTCTAGGGATGGGAAAGGATGGGAGGAGGCTGCTGATCCCCAAAAAAGCCGGAAGGTTACAGCTGGGTCAATGAGCTGTGCTAGGGCTGGGCTTTTCTTTCCTCCGCAGGGACCACCAGGACCGCCGGGAGCAGAGGGTCAGCTGGGGCCGAAGGGTGAGCAGGTGGGTGCTGGGGGTGGTGCTGGGCTCACCCCACTCCTGCAGGGTCACACAGGTGCTTGAATTCATGGGAAGTGTTTGAAACTCCCCCCAGCATCCTCATGCCTGGGGGTTGACATTGCTGGGCATGGCAAGGGGGGGGGTCCCATAAGAAAATTGGGTTTTTCCCAGTATGGAAAATGATGGAGGGCAGATCCAGGCTGAGCTAGAAAAGGCAGCCAAGAATCATCCTGCTCATTTTAATCCTGTCCAGGGAGAACCAGGGACCCGTGGAGCTCCAGGCATCAGAGGGAGCCCTGGGGAGCCAGGGGACGAGGGGACAGAGGGGCCACCGGGACGGCCTGGGATGCAAGGGAAGGAGGTACGTGTGGGACTGTCCCCACAGGGAATGGGAATGGGAAAGGTGCTGCCTCTGGGCCCTGCCCATGCCATGGCTTTGCCCCACGGAGCCTGGGATGCTCCCATGGAACAGGGGGTTGATGCTGTGGGGGTCCCCGTGCTGGGCAAGGTGTGCTCAGCATTTTGTGTGTCTGTTTTGGGGGAGCGGGGTCACAGCTGGGGGGATCTCCCGGCACAGGAGGTGAGGCCATGCCTTACCCAGCATCAAAATCCCAGCCAGGGGAGGGTGGGAAAGCCCATGGAAATCAAAGCCCAGCTTTTAACCCGCCCTGGGGTGGGGCTGGGAGCAGCTGCCGTGTCCAATGTGGGCATTTCCCCCCTGGGCAGGGTGACACTGGTGACACTGGAGACCCAGGCGAGCCAGGACTGCAGGGACGGAAGGTGAGGGGTGTCTCTAACTCTGCCCCTTTTTCCAGCACCTCGGGGACACCCCTGGCCTGCTCAACCTCTGCTGCTCCACGGTGGGGACAGAGCAGGACAGGGGTGTCCCCATGGCTGAGGAGCACCCCAGGGTGACCTGCTCTCTGTGGCACCCGGCCAGAGGGTGACACAGCTCATCTCCGTGCTCGTTTATTGCTGTTCCTTTTCCCTCTTTGTGGTGACACTTGTCTCCATCCCTGAGCAGGGCAATCCTGGCCCCAGGGGCCTTCCTGGAATTCCCGGTCCAGGAGCTGCCACGGGGGAAATTGGAGGGAAAGGCCAGAAGGGAGAGAAGGGCCGAGAAGGTTTGCTGGCAAGTACAGCTGGGGCTGGGTGGCCAAAGTGATGGGTGCCAAGGAGGGGACGCACCCCTGGTGGGAAACCTTGGGCTCTGGGAGCTGCAGAAAATCCTAGGAATTGTCAGATTAGGGAGATTCGTGTCTCACAGGCATGACACCAAAGTTGGGTCTTGTTGGCACAAAAGGATGGTTTGGGTTTGTGGGGCAGTTTGGGGTAATGCTGCCTCCAGCCAAATTCCAGCCCCTGCTGGGCTGGGAACACATCTCCCTGTGTGTGCCAGGGCCAGGGCGGTGTCACCGGAGCTGCAGGACCTGCTGGAGCCAGAGGATGGTCTGTAAGTCAGATCATGTCCCCTCTTCCCTTTCAGCCTGTCCCAGCCCTGGTGAGGGGACACTTGTGGGACTGGGAGCACTGGGCAGGGCTGAGTGACCCTCTGCTTGTGCCCTCAACAGGGGGGGACAGGACTCCGAGGTCCTCCTGGGCTCGACGGTCCCGAGGGAGAGAAGGTACAGAGGGATGATGGATCCAATCCTTCATCTCTGGGTGAAACTCCCTTTTCTGGCCTCTTCCCAAGCTTTCCCGGTGGGAATGTGCTGGGAGTGTGCTGGGAGTGGCTGCATGGCTGTCCTGGGCAGGCTGGTGACAGGGACACTCCTTGCCTTGCTGCCTGAGCTCCAAAGCCAGCAAGGCAGGGAAGGGTTTTTCCACGGACAGAGCTGTTTCCCTTCCTTTCCCAGGGAGATCCAGGGCCACGAGGTGTGGATGGACCTGCTGGGGCTGCAGGATTCGAGGTGCTGATGCCTGGAATGTTGCAGAGCTGGGAGTTGCCAAAGGCTTCCCCAGCTCTTTGCTATTTTCAGTGTAACCCAAAGGATTTCTTGTCCCTTTGCTGGCCAGCTTGGGGAGCTCAGAAATGAGGAGGGGGTTTAACACCTCATGCCTCAGCACTGACCCTAAAACCCCAAACTCCCAGTACCTAAACCCCCAATATCAGACCCTTTCCAGCACCCAGGGGTGCCTCATGGAAAACCTGTTCCTGCTGCTGAATCCTGCTCACTCCCACGTGGCTCCCAGTGCTGTCCTGGCCAGCTGAGCGTGGGATGTGGGACAGGATGCTCAAAGTCCCCACAGAGGTGAAGGACATGGTGGTGAGGGGCTTTTTCTGAACCCCCAATGTCCCCACAGGGACTGGCTGGAGATGATGGAACGAAGGGAGATGGTGGCAAGCCCGGCCCAGTGGTGAGTACTCATCCTGCCCCCCAAAAATTCCTTTGGGAAAGAGGTTTGGTGGCATTTTGGGATGTGTCTCACCCTGGGGATGGCTGCAAAGTGAGCTCTGCCAGCTTGGCCATGGCTCCCAGCTCCTGCCCTGGGACTGAGTCACTGCTTCCTTGGATTTCCCACGGCAAAAGCTCCCTAAAGGAATTTTAATAGAGCTGTTAAAAGCCGTGCCAAAGTGCCCCAGCTCTTGCACAGGTAACAGTCAGCTGCTGCCATCTGCCTGAGGCAGCTCCAGGGCTCTGGATTTCCCAATCCTTGGAGCAGATCCCCAGGTGTCCCTGTGGCTCTGGGAGCTGCCCAGTGCCACTTGAGGTGCCCCAGGATGGGGATGATGGTTGTGACAGAGCCACAGATGTGTTATGGATTCCCTGAGCACAGCTGCAGGATAAACCCCATGTGCATCCCAGTTTTCCCAGGCTGCAGGGCCGCTCTGCCTGGGCAAGACGTGCCCTTATGCAATCCCAGAATCCCAGACTGGTCTGGGTTGGAAGGGACCTCAAAGCTCATTGGATTCCATCCCCTGCCATGGCAGGGGCACCTTCCACACACCAGCTGCTTCCAGGCCTTTAGCTTGGGCAGTCTGCTGGGAGAGGTCAGGCTGTGGGATAAACTCCAGTGGGGAATTGCTGTGGAATAAACTCCATTGGGGAATTGCTGTGGAATAAACTCCAGAGGGGAATTTCCTGTGCAATAAACTCCAGGGGAATTGCTGTGCAATAAACTCCGGGGAATTTGCTGTGGGGATTTGCTGTGGAATAAACTCCAATGGGGAATTGCTTTAAAATAAACTCCAGTGGGGAATTGCTTTAGAATAAACTCCAGTGGGGAATTGCTGTGGAATAAACTCCAGTGGGGAATTGCTTTAGAATAAACTCCAGTGGGGAATTGCTGTGGAATAAACTCCAGTGGGGAATTGCTTTAGAATAAACTCCAGTGGGGAATTGCTGTGGAATAAACTCCAGGGGAATTGCTGTGGGATAAACTCCAGGGGATTTGCAAAGCTCAGTGCAGCTGAAGCCCCATGCTCGAGCCCTGCTGGGGCTGGGGGTGAGCAGTGTCCCCGTCTGTGTGCCCTGCAGGGCTCGCAGGGGGCTCAGGGACTGGCAGGTGCCCCTGGGCTCCGGGGCTACAGCGGCCACGAGGGAGCCAGAGGAGTGGTGGGCACCAAGGGACAGCCAGGCCGGCAGGTACCGCCTCTGCTCCCCGGGGACGGGCAGGGGACATCCCTGGCACAGCTCTCCCTGGGGACAACAGCCCCAGCTGTGCCCTCCTGCCTTCCCCTGGTGCCAGCCTCATGTTTTGTCCCCAACTCAGGGGACTCTTGGGCCACCGGGAGAAGCTGGAGCCACCGGGCTGAGCGGCACCGAGGTAAGCGGGCTCCTCTCTGCCCCGTTCCCTGCTCCAGCTTTTCCAGCCTCCCAGATCTGTGTCCCTCTGGCATTTGGGTGAATAACTCAGAGGTTTGGATTTGCCTTGAATTCTGTTTTCCTTCTTAGGGCCTGGTGGGTGCAAAAGGGGAGCCAGGAGAGCCGGGAAAAGCGGGACAAATGGTGAGGAGTGGGATGGAGTCGTGGTGGTTCTCCCTGAAAGAGGCTGTGGGATGCTGGCATCTCCTGGGTGTGGAAAAATTCAATGCAGGCACCATCTCCTGCTCCTGTTGAACCTTCCCACAGCCCCCCCTCTGCCCAGCCGGCTCCAGAGAGAGGCAAAATCCCAAAGGGAAGATTCCAGCTTAGAGCATCCTCCTGTGCACAGCGGGGCAAGGCAGGGAGGGAAGCCAGGAGGGGCATTCCTGGCACAGCATCCTCACAGAAGGGTTTCCTTCTCCTTTGGGATTTCAGGGCTCTCCTGGACAAGCTGGTCCTAAAGGATGTAAAGGCCACAAAGGAGATAAGGTACCCCCAAAATCCTCCCCTGGGGATGGCACCTGAGGGGAACTGCCCCGTGGGCATGGGGTGGGCAAGCCTGAGCTGCTCAATCCCACTGGGGACCATGGAAAGAAAACAGTGGGAATCGCCCAGGGGGACTCGTTTTTCTCCACCTGGAGAACACAGGATGCTCTTGGGCTGCCTTGGGCTGGTTTTTGAGTGAGGGGCTGGCAGATCCTGCCCCCAGCCTGGCTCAGGTGGCCCTGGGGGGCACAGGGGTCTCCCCAGCTCTTTGTGCCCATCTCCAGAATCCCCCAGTGCCCGGTGGGCTCTGTCCCCATCTCCATGCAGGCAACAGCTCCTCTTCCCCAGCCCTGGGATGTGGCTGAGCCCCACATCCCCCATCTCTTCTCCCTCCAGGGCGACACGGGGCAGGAAGGGGACCAAGGGGTCCCAGGAGAAGCTGGCAGACGGGTAAATGACACTGCTGTCCCCACGGAGGGTGGAAGGGAGCAGGGAGCTGCTCCTTGGAGCCCGTGCAGGGGCTTGGAATCCCTGGAGAGAGGATCCTGGAGGGATGAAGGGTGTCTGGATTAGTTTGGAACTACCTGTGAGCCTTTCATCTGTGGTCCCCAGGGCAAGCGAGGCAAGATGGGCCAGCAGCCCCCGCGGGGTCCCCGGGGACACAAGGTACGTGGCTTTGTGAGGCTGCCTGGCCCCCCTGGCAGTTTGGGGGTGCTCCCACCTGCCTGAGCCCCGGTTTAGAAAAGAATAAACCATGATAACTGAGGGCTCTGTCCCCCCAGAGCCTCCCAGCCCAACAGGGGCATCTCCCACACCCACAGCACCTTGGGCTGCTCTCCCTGCCCTGGAGCATCACCCTGGGCACAGCCAGGGCTTCTCCCTTTGCATTTCAGGGCTACCCAGGTGACAAAGGACTTCCAGGACCCCAAGGCCCCCAGGGACCCTATGTGAGTATCAGTGTGGGGTTTTGGGGTGCTGCCTGCTCCCTGCTTGACCCCACTGTGTGATCCAGCTCTGCAGGGACCCAAAGCAGGGATCTGTTTAAAATGAGAGAAGTTTTTAAGTGGTTCATCCATCTCCTCCTGTCTTCTCCTCTCAAATTAACATCCCAGGAGGGCATATTCAGTCAGGCAAATCACATCATTCCCAAAATGTGCTTCTGGAGGCCAAATCCTTCATTTTAGGGATGTCTGATGCCAGGCAGTGCTGAGCACTAATGGGACTGTGCCCACCTTCCCAGAGAGCTGTCAAGGCTGGAGGGACAAACTGCAGCCAGCAAAAAGGACTCAGATATTTATTTTAATTACTAGAAATTGTTTTTTTCTCTGCTTAAAATAATTCTTAAAAAAAGCCCAACTTTGGCAACTTCACCCAAAAAAAGCTGGATTTTCTCAGCCAGCCAAGGCACCTCCAGTCCATTTTTAATGGGCTTTGCTGAGGAATCCTCCTGAAAGCAAAAATCAAAGAAACAATGAGAAAATGCCTCAAAGTTTCTAAATCTGCCTGAAATCCTCAGGTGTGGGGAGGGCCCTCCTTACCAGGAGCTGACAGGAGCAGCTCAGCTCCAAGTTCCATGTTTCCCTCTTAGGGCATCCCAGGGCTGAAGGGCATCAAAGGAGACCCTGGACCGAAAGGACACAAGGTAGGGGACGTGTGCCAGGCACAGCAGGGATGCTGGGCACAGGGTGGCATTTAATTTGCTGAATTCCACCCCCTTTTTCCCCTCTTTCCGAACCCTGATGGCTGCACCATCCTTCTCTGGGGGTTCCCAAGTGCTGGGAGATGGAACCGTTAGATTTTCTCCCAAATCCAGTCCTTTTCCAGCTTTTCCATCCTTCTGGAGTTGCAAGCAGCAGTGTGGAGCCTTTTAATCCCTGCTTTCAGCATTGATGCTGATGCACCGTGAGCTGAACCTCCCTTGTGCCCCTCCTGATGGGTCCAGCCTTGGCTGGAGAAACCAAGCACATCCCAAACATCCCATTCCTCAGCCCCACGGCCATAAATAAGAGTGACAAGCAGTCCCTGGCAATGGGGAGCTGCTCAGATCCTTCAGGAAAATGAAAATGAAACCTTGGGAATCATTAAAACTTTAAATTTCTAGTGAGCTCAGTGAGCCACTCCTGGGAGAGCAGGAGGAGGGGAGGCTGTGCTGGGATTTTTCCTCTGCTTCTGGTTTCAGCACACCAAGAATCTTCTTTATTCTCTCCAAGTACTTCCTGGCAACTTCCAGGGTTTTCCTGAGAGATATTTTAGTCTGGGATGATCCTTTCAGTTTGGAGCTGCCTCTGTCCCCAGCAATGTGGGTGCAGTGAATTCTATGGAACCAAAAGGATGGGGGTTTGGGGGCTTTTGCTCCAGAAGTTTTGCAGCCAGCCATAACTGAAATCATATTTTTGTATATTTATATATATATATATATATATATAAGTATAATATAACTGAATTTCCCCACCCACACTGGTGTCCTGGGAGTTCTGTCCTTCCCTTTGCCACCAAAGTTTTCCCTGACTCTCTCCTAGGGTGAGAAGGGCAGCAAGGGTGACCTGGGCCAGCGAGGGGATGATGGCTTCAAGGTGTGTGACAGGTTTTGCTCTTTTCCTTCCCCCCCTGGGTCCCTTGTCACCCTGTGTGACATCCTGCCACGTTCCCAGGGCAAGCCAGGACCCCACGGTGTCCCTGGGAGGCTGGGACCCAAGGGAAAGCAGGTAAGGGCAGGGTGGAGAGGGATGTCAGGGACTAAAATGAGAATTTGGGGTGAATTTCTTATTTTTCCATGTAAGACCCACCTGGGGAAGGGGTTGGGTTGTAGAAGGATGCAGGGCTGGGGGATGTCCTGTGCAGCACCCTGAGCCCCTCTGGTGTCCTTGCAGGGTGACACTGGCCCCCCTGGCCCACGGGGACACCCTGGAATTCCCGGGACACCGGTGAGTCCTTCCCCCTTCTGCAGGGAGGGGTTTGGGGTTCACTCCTGGCCCCAGAGGGATGCAGCTCTGATCCCACGTGCCTCCCTCTTATCCCAGTCTTGTCCTTTCTTTCCAGGGCTTGTCTGGACCCAAAGTAAGTAGTGGGGAGCAGCAGCTGGAGCGGGATCAGCCCTGCCATGGGATCCCTTCCCTCCTTCCCACTCCAGGGGTGCAGGGGGCCCGCAGGGGTGCAGCTCAGCACAGCAGCATCTCCCACCTTGCTTTCCTTCCCTTTTCCACCTCCTCCTCTGGCAGGGGCTGAGAGGCTTCCCAGGCCTGCCAGGCCCCAGGGGCACGCCGGGAATGCCGGTAAGCAGAGCCACAAACACCCCTCATCCCAGAATCTGGGTCCCTTACTCCTCTAAACGTGGCAGTGAGGCCCTGCCATGCCATGCTGTCATCCCATGGGGATGTCCAGCTGCTGGCACTGGTGGAGGAGCTGCTGAGGGGCTCGTGGGCCAGTGCCACCAGTACTGTCACTGTCCCCCAGGGTCTGGCTGGCCCCCCTGGTCCCAGTGGGCCTCCACTGATGCTGTCGCAGGAGGAGCTGCAGGTGAGCGATGCTGTCCCATGTCCTGCTGCTCCTGAGGGCCCCTGTGCACCAAGACTGAGCAGATCCAGCTACTCCCTTGTCCCCTGCATGTGCCATCCCCTTCTTCAGCACCTGATGATGCTCCTGGTGGGGGGATCTATGATCAGCTTGGTGATATCCCCTCCTTTTTCTTTCAGCACCTCATTTATTCCTCCAACCACCTGAATTACACCGTGGTCTGGGCTCTGCTGGACTCCCTGAGCCGGGAGCTCCAAGCCCTCATGGAGCATCCCAATGGCACCAAATCCAACCCGGCCACCACCTGCAAGGAGCTGCTGCTGGCTCACCCCGAGCTGCCTGACGGTACCAGGGACATGGGGAACCCCCCTGGACCTGGCCCCATCTCCAGAGCCTGTGAAGGGACAGGCAGCTCTTTGAAATAAAGAGGGAATTAGGATTTTGGGGAATGAGGTCAGATGGGGCTTCCTGGGCATCCCTGGAGAAACAGGCTGGTGGCCAGGCCACCAGCTGGGGTGGGATGGCACTGTGTGTCACCCTCCCTGTGCCAAACCTGGGTGCCAGGGGCTCTCCTCTCCTCCCTCCAGGGCAATACTACATCGACCCCAACCAGGGCAGCCCCCAGGACGCGCTGCTGGCCTTCTGCAACTTCACAGCTGGGGGGGAGACCTGCATAGCCCCCATCCACAACCAGGTGTGGTTTTGGGGCAGCTTCAGCCCCGAGGGACCCCTCAGGGTGGGTGGGGACAAGGGCTGGTGGGGCTGGAGAGGGACAGGGTGACCATTCCCTTGCTGTGGTGCCCACTGTGCTGGCAGGGAGCTGTTGGAGCACTCTGGAGCGAGGATCCCGGTCACGGTGTGTGCCAGGCTGCAGGGACAGCAGGCTCTGTGCTGGCTCCTTGTCCTCCTGTCAGTGCCACTATCCCCTTGCTGGGACAGTGTGACAATTGTCCCCGCTCCCCTCAGGTCCCCATCAAGGCTTGGCTGAGCACCTACAGCTCTGAGAACACCTTTGAATGGTTCAGCACCCTTCCCGGGGGCTTCCTGGTGAGTGCCCGGCTGGAACAGCCGAGGGGACACAGAGGTGAGGTCGGGGGTCTCCAAGTGCCACCCTGCAGTGGTGGGACAGCACCCAGGTCCCCCGGCTGTGCACAGAGGGACGTGCCACCTCCTTCTGCGAGGAGCTCCAGCGCTTTAGCAGGGGGCTGGGGGAGCACAGCCCCCCTGAAACAGCTCCCGGTTCTCTCTCCCGCTGTCCCTGCAGCTGGAATACGGGGCCAGCGCAGTGCAGCTCCGCTTCCTGCGCCTGCACAGCCTCCGCGCCACCCAGAAGGTCTCGTACTCCTGCAGACCGGCCCCGGAGCTCGGCCAGCCCCAGCCCGACAAGGAAATCCGCTTCCTGGCAGACTCCCGGGATCACAGCTATGCAGCCAGCCTGCAGGGCTGCCTGGTGAGCCACCGTGCCTGGAAAAGCCTCCCGAAATTTGGAGAGCCCTTTGGAGAGTGTTTGAACCCCCCCAGTTTGGGATGGACCGTGTGGATGAGGCTGCACACGGTGGGATGGGGATGGAGAACATCCTCTCCCCCGGCCCAAGGAGCTTCCCGGTCTTGGGATGTGGCAAGGGATGGGGCGGGCCCTGGGGGACAGGAGGGAGGTCACCACCCTGGGGATGGAGCCTGGGTGCGTCAAGGAGCAGCCAAGCGAGCTGCAGGCCCTCAGCTGAGGGGTTTGGTGCCGCTCAGCTGTCCCTGGTGGTCATTTCAGCCGGACAACGACTCCTCCATCACCGACACCATCTTCCAGTTCAGCACGGAGGAGCTGTGGCTGCTGCCCCTGCGGGACCTGGCTGTCTTCCACAACGGCGACGCCTCGCACCAGTTTGGTTTCACAGTCGGACCAGTTTGCTTCAGCTGAAAGTGGTGCCACCCAAACCGAGCCAGCCGGTTCTGTCCCCACCCAGGAGCCATCCCAATGGGGACAAGCGGAGGCTGGGGGTGGCACGGGGCTCCCACCTGCTCCACAGAGCTGCTGGCTCTCTCTGAGCTCCGTGCTTGGAGCTGTGTTATGTCCTGGGCTCCGCTTCCTTCTGGAGTTGAGGAATATTGTTTACAAAAGTCATTTGTCTATAAATTATATATATATATATTATATATGTATATATTATATATGACAAGGTGATGATTTCATGACTGCTTGGGGGAGGTTCATGTAATTATAATCCCTGGGAATTGTCTGTAAAGAAAAAAAACAACCAAGGAGCAAGACTAGTTCCAGCTTGGGAAAAGAGGGAGGAAAGGTCCTTTTCTTTGCCAGGATCAATGGTTGGAGCACTGATTTCCCCAGGATTGGGCTGGGAATGGCCCTGGTGAGCCTGGGAGAGCCCAGTGTGGTGCTGCTCCAGCACCTCCATCACCAAGTGCTGCAAAGGGGTGAAAATGTTAATCCCCCCCAAATCCTGCCTCGATTGTGAGTCTCCATCTCACTGAGAGGGATTTTAGTGTAGAGTCAGGCATTGTAGCACTGGCTGCCTTTGTGGGCATCTGCACCTGCTGGCACTTGGGGAAACTGAGGCAGGGGCAGCTCAGCAATCCCTGTTCCCAGATGTAATGGTTGGAATGTCCCAGCATGGATCAAACATCTGCGTGCTTCTAGTCACAGCTGGAAGGAAAGTTCTCCTTTGTTCTGCCTATCTATAGGGAAAATAAAATCATACAATCCTGAATTTGGGTTGGAGTAGAACTTGGAGACCATCCCAGGGTGACCCAAGCCCTGTCCAGCCTGGCCTTGGGCACTGCCAGGGATCCACGAGCAGCCCCAGCTGCTCTGGGAATTCTATTCCAGGGCTTGCCCACCGTGCCAGGGAACAATTCCTGCCCAAAATCCCACATATCCCTGCCCTGTGTCCATTCCCTGTGTCCTGTCCCTCCATCCCTTGTCCCCTCTCCAGCTCTCCTGGAGCCCCTTCAGGCCCTGGAAGGAGCTCTGAGCTCTCCCTGGACCCTTCTCCTCTCTAGGCGGAGCACCCCAAAAAACTCTCAGCATTTTCAGGGTGCAAACCCCGCGCTCGGGGACCGGGATTGGGCGGGGGGGAAAGCGCTGGGAGCCAGGAGCGAAGGGAAAGCGAAAGCGCGGCCTGAGGCAGGGCCGGGCCGGGCCGGGCCGGGGAGGAGGCGACACAGGCGGCACCGCCCCGCCGCACTACAGCTCCCGGGGAGCCCTGCGCCGAGCGACAGCGGAACAACAGCTCCCGGGGAAATAAACTGGACACCCGACAGCCCCCGACATCGGAGCGACAGCCCCCACAGCCCCCACAGCCCCCACAGCCCCCGGCAGCAGCGCCGGAGGGGCCGGGCCGGGCCCCGCGCCCGCTGCCACCGCCACCATGCAGGTGAGCCCCGGGACGGGCACGGCCGGGACCCCGAGAGCTTCCTGGAGCCCCTGAATCCGCCCTGGAACACCTTTAATACCCCTGGAACCCCTTAAATCCCCCTGGGACCCCGTGAATCCGCCCTGGAACACCTTAAATCCCCCTGGGACCCCTTAAATCCCCCTGGGACCCCGTGAATCCACCCTGGAACCCCTTAAATCCCCCTGGAACCCCGTGAATCGCCACCCTGGAATTGATTCCACCCTGGAACCCTTTAAATCCCCCTGGAACTCCATGATTCCACCCTAGAATCCCATGAATCCTCCCCTGGAATCCCTTAAATCCCCCTGGATGCCTGTGATCCTCCCCTGGGATCACATGAATCCCCCTGGATCCCCTTAAAACCCCTCTGGAACCCCCAAGGTCCCCTCTGGAGTCTCATGAATCCCCCCAGAACTCCTTCAATCTCCCTGGCAGTGCCCAAGGCCAGGCTGGATGGGGCTGGGAGCAGCCTGGGATAGTGGGAGGTGTCCCTGCCCATGGGATGAGTTTTAAGATCCCTTCCAGCCCCCAAACCATTCCCTGGTTCTATTGGGTGTTTAAGCCTGGTTTGTTGGAAGCAGCAAGGCCTGGAGGGTGACACCATTCCCCAGGAGAATCCCAGTTTGGGGACACCCCCGTGGGACACTGTGCTGTTCAGGGTGGGGTCGGGGTGCTGCAGGAAGGCAGCTTTATCCCAAAGTGTGGGATCAGACATCCCAGCTGGACTGGAGCAGCAGCCTGGCACTGCTCTGTGCAGGCACCGCAGGTTCTGCTAAGAATAATCCCAAAACTGCAGCGGATCCAGCCCTAAGTGCACACTGAGCACAGGAGGTTTCCCAACAGCTCATTTTCCCGGAGTGAATTCCTGCGGGGGAGGAGCTGGGTGCAGCCTCACCCCTGCTCAATCCCTGCTTTGTGGGACATCTCCCTGGCAGCGGTGCCTCTTCCCTACTGGGAGGAAGGCTGGAATTTTTAAGATTTTGCCCTCTTGACCTTCATCCACCAAGAAATCTCTCTGTGGCATCGCTGTAGGAGAGGAGCTTTTGGCCCAAGGAGCATCATTTTGGTGTCACACCGAAAATATGTGGTTCCACCCCAGGCCGGGGCAGCAAAGGGATCTTCTGGATCTTCTGGATCTCTGGAACAGGCTGCCCAGGGAACGGGTGGAATCACCATCCCTGGAATTGTTCAAAGAACATAGAGAGGTAGCACTTGGGGACAGGGTTTAGTGGAGGCCTTGGCAGTGTTGGGGGAATGTTTGGATTTCATGATCTTAGAGGGCTTTTCCAAAGTTTATGACTCTGATTCTTCCCATCACTTCTGTCCCCATCCCTAAAACAGTCACCTGCTCCTTCCACCACATTGCAGACCTGTGGGTGAAGCCTGTAAAGGAGAAATAGCTTCATTTAAAGGCTAATTATCATTAATCTGTGGCCAAAGGAGGCTTAAAAGGCTGAGCTAATTACATGTGCTAATGTCTTTGGGTAAGGAGGGCCGAGGGGTGTAATTGGAGCCAGGCTGTGGCCTGAACACCCACGGGATATTGGATGGTATTTCTGGCTGACACTGATCCTGGTGCTGTCAGTCACCTCTGCTGGTGTTGCAAAAGGCAGGAAAGAGCCTCCAAGCACGGATCCAAACACGGATCCATGCAGGAGAGGAGCAGCCATGAGCTCCACAAACACCTCCTAGAGAGATTCACCAAAGGCAGTGTGAAAAACCCAACAAAATTCCAGCTTTTGGGCAAGATGTGGCAGCTGGGTAGAGCTCTGCAGCTGATGTTACACAAGAGCAATTCCTGCTCCTCCTGTTTCAGCGGAGTGAAGGAGGAGGGGTGGTGCCTTTGCAGGTCCTGGCAGTGTTGGGTTTGATGCTCCTCTGTCAGGGAGGCACCCCTGGACCTGGTCCCCATCGTTGGGTGCTCACACTTGTGGCTCTGGGTGCATCAGTGGTTGAGTTTTTGGGTGTCCTGGCAGTGCAGGACATTTCTCTGCCCTGAGAGGCAGAGGGGAGCAGAGGCTCTGCTCAGCTTCCTCAGGGACCTTCCCTCCTCAAATCCACGTGGATGAAGCCCTAGATTCATCTCTCTTTGTCACGGGGGTAAACTGGCTTTTTGTCACAGGCCAGGCACTCACAGGAGCTGCTGCTGGAGGGGGAAATTGTCCTGCTGGAGGTGACGGGAAGAGTTCAACCCAGTCAGCGTGACTGTGATTGTCCGTGCAAGTTCCTCTTCCCGTTTCACAGCTGGGGAAAAAAACTTGCACCATTTGGTGAATCCCCAGATGAGCATCCCAGGGTGGGACCTGCTGGCAGGGTGGGCACCTGAGGGGCTTCAGCACTGCCTTTCCCTGGCCTCTTTTCCAGATGACCTTCTACTTCTCGGACACAGCAGTGCTGCTCTTTGACTTCTGGAATGTCCACAGCCCCACAGGTAGGCTGCCAGCACTGGGACATCCCTCCCTCCCTCCCTCCCTCCCTTCGCTTTTCCTACTTAATTCTGTGAATTAAAAAGCTAAATACACCTTTTCCTGACATGTAACAACCCCAGTGCCCAACCCCAGTGCCAGGAGCCCTCCAATTCACCCCGTGGATATTCCCACACACCCCGTGCCGGGCCCTGCTGTGCCCCTGTCACCCCCACAGCCTCTCCCCACGCCTGGGCAGTGCTGGGATGTTTCTCCTGCAGGGATGGTGCTCTCGGTGCTGGTGATCCTGCTGCTGTCCGTGCTCTACGAGGCTGTGAAGATGGGCAAGGCCGTGCTGCTGCGGCGGGCGCTGCTGGCCCTGCCCCACAGCCTCAGCCAGGAGGCCCTGACCGAGCCCCAGCAGGGGGACAGTGGCCCTACGCAGGGCAGGTACCCCAGGGACCGCCCTGGCACCCACTGGGGGGGCTCAGGGATGGCTCTGTGGCCCCGTGGCCAGCACAGAGGGGAGAAGGGCTGTGAGGAGGAGTTGCAGGCTCCCAGGGAAGGGGGGTGTGCACAGCCTGGGGAGGTGGCTCCAGGGGCAGCCCAGCCCTTCCACATCCTCTGGGAGATGTCCAGGGTGGTGGCCAGAGGCTCATGTTCCCCTTCAGGAGCCATTGTGGGTGCAGGAGGGTCCTACTGCTTTGGGGATGGGCACAAGCAGCAACTCTGTCCTGACAAGCCTGGCCCTGACAGTTCCTTCCTTTAGAGCCAACCCCTGGATTTTTCCTCTTGTACTTAATCCTGGATAATTCCTGGGGCTGCTCTTACTGCTAGCCTTGTTGATTTTGGAGCGGGATTTCCCCCTGAGCTGCTGTTTGCAGCCCCCACCCCTCTCCCTGCTCCCCAAACCCCGCTCTGGCCACCCCAGGCTCCCGCTGGGAGGTGATTCCAGCTGCCCCAGCCCCTCGTTGATGCACGATCCCATCTCCTTCCCTAGGTGGTTTTGGTTCCACGTGGGCCAGACGCTGTTCCACGTGGTGCAGGTGGTGCTGGGCTATATGGTGATGTTGGCTGTCATGTCCTACAACGCCTGGATCTTCCTGGGGGCCATCGTGGGCTCCACGCTGGGCTATTTCATGGTGTACCCCCTGCTCGGTCGCGGCTAGAGCCCCCCACCGTGTCCCACCTCCTGCCCCTTTGTCTGGGAAAGTTGCTGTCACTTCTGCTGGGTCTGTCTCTGTCCCCGTGCTCTGGGGGATGCAGAAACCCAAGGACTTGCTGGGGGCCCCGCTCTGGGGACGGGGAGCCCCATGTGCAGCTCCTCAGCTGGTGGCTGTCCCCTGGCTCTCAGGGACCTTTGTCCAGGTGATGACAGCGGGGGGGGGTGCTGGCATTTCCTCCCCTCCCTGCTTTTTGAGGAGGCTCATCCTGGCTGGAACGGGAACCATCCAGTGACTTGCTGGGGGAGAGGGCAAGCTGGGCTCAGGGACCCCTGCCCAGAGCTGCCCTGCACCAAGCCCCTCTTCACACAGTGCCTTTGGGGACGCTGGGGGGGTGCTGCCACCCCCACCCCGCTCCTGCGCTTCACGGATGGGGCTGGAGCAGCCCCTGAGCCGCTGGTGTGGCTGTGCCAGGGGGGAAATGCTGCTCCAGGTGCCTCTTGCTGCTTCTTCAGGACCCCCCTTCTAATAAAATCATCTCAGCTCCTCTCCTGGTTTGTGTCACTGCTGGCTGGGCTCAGGATGTGCCACCCCTGGCTCACAGTGGGACTGGGATCCCCAGTCCCACCCAGGGAGGCGGTTCAGGAATAAGGAGAGTCTCCTCTGGCTTTAAATAAAGCTTTTCCATTTTATTAATTATTATAAGCATATCTTTAAACATTTGTATAACTTTCTTAATAAAATATCCTGGAAGAGACAGGTTTGAAGTTCACAGAGAAAGGCACTTTGAGGGGGGCCTCCCAAGGCACTTTGGGGGCCCCCCTGAGTGGGTTAGGCTGGGCACCCCCCTTCTGGGGCAGGAACGGTGGCACCTAAGCACAGGTGGGTGTCAGGGTGCTGCTCCAGGTGTCCCACCCAGGAGTCCTGCAGACCCCCAGCACCTCCAGGGCTTTTGGCGTCGCTGTGTGGGGGCTGCAGCAGTCCTGTCCCATCCTTGTGACAGATGGGAGCTCAGCAAAGCCCTGCTCTTTGCTGAGCCACCACAGCAGGTGCCAAAACCTGCAAAGCTGGAGAAACCATCCATGGCAGGTGCTGAGATCTGGAGGGCAGGGGCTGGGGTCTCTCCACTGCACAGCAAGCTGAGCCTGGAATTATCCCAGTCCTGCCACGTGCTGCTGGGACACGGCATGAGTGCCACCTTCCCCCAGAGATTTAACTCTGAACTTAAAATATCTCCTCAAACACCCTGGGGTGAGGATGGCTGGGGTGGGCTCTGGATGCTCTGAGCTCAGCCTGGATGCTCTGAGCTCAGCCTGGATGCTCTGAGCTCAGCCTGGATGCTCTGAGCCCAGCCTGGATGCTCTGAGCCCAGCCTGGGGCTCACGCCTGTCCCAGCACTCTCCCCCTCAGCAGTGGCTCACGCCCCGCGGCGTTGCTGTCCCTGTCGTGTCCCCATTTGCCACCCTGGTTTCCATCACCCCCTGCAGCCCCTGCTCCCACTGGCGCTCCCGGAGCCAGCCGGGGGGGTGGCAGTGGGCAGGAAACGCCTGGATTGGGGCAGGGACACCCCCGGGGACAGCCAGGAGGGTCCCATCCCGCACACCCACCCTCAGCAGGGCCAGTGCCAGCCCCCCCGGCAGCCCCAGGCACTGGTGTAGGGGGCAGATAAAGCTCTTCAGTAAAGCATCTCCTCAGTAGGAAAGAAAATAAGGCAGAAGAAGGACAGAGCAGAGTGCAGGGGATGCCCCATGCCAGACTGGGGCCACCCCTAGTCCGACCCAGTAGGGGCTGTGGGCCTGGCCCCCGTTAGGCAGCAAGGTCTCGGTGTCCCCATCCCCTCCCTTTCCCGCGGTGCCGCTCTCCATCCCGGGGGTCCTATCCCCCTCCCCCAGCCCCAGCGTCACCGGGGCCAGTCCGTGGCAGGGGGCTGGGGCTAGAACTCAGTCTGCACCCCCTCACCGCTCTCCGTGGTGGCCCTGGGCTGTGGGGGGCTGCGCTCCCCGTGCTCGCCCGTCTCCATCTCGCTGTGCTGGTGCCACCCTGGTGAGGGGCTCTGGGCTCCGGGTGGTGCTGCTGTGACTTGGGGCACCTTGGCCTCTGCTGGGACATCGGCTCGGGGGCTGGCTGGTGCTGCTGTGGCATGTGGCACGCTGGACACCGACGGGGAGTCAGCTCTGGGCACGGGGGATGCTGGCACGGATGATCTCGGTGCGGCGTGTGGCACCTCAGCCTCTGATGGGACATCAGCTCTGGGCACAGGTGATGCTGGCACGGATGATCTCGGTGTGGCATGTGGCACTTCGGCCCCTGATGGAGCATCAGCTCTGGGCACAGGTGATGCTGGTTCAGGACGTTGTCTCCCAGTCCCTGACGGGACCTCGGCTGCAGGGCCAGGTGACGATGCTGGTGTGGCACACTGCCCCCCCGATGACACAGCTCCCCGCACAGGCGGGGCCGGTGCAGCCCGGCGCGTCCCAGCTCCTGACGGGACCTCTGCTCCAGGGACAGGTGACGATGCTGGTGTGGCACGTTCTCTCCCAGTCCCTGATGGGATCTCAGCTCCAGGGACAGGTGACGATGCCACACAGTGCACCCCGTCCCCGTCACGGGCTGGACCTTGCTGTGTGACATCCCCTTGGGCAGCCCCTGCCGGCAGCAGCCCCTCCTCGCTGGCACCACCGGCGTCGGTGCCATTCACCAGCCGCTCCTCCATCCCGGCACCATCCCCGAGGCTCTCCTGTGCCAGCGCCTCCCGGATCTCCTTCACCGCATCCGGGGGGCTCGGGGGCACCCCGGGATGTGCCTCCTCTGGCTCCCGAGGCTCGGGGGAGCCGGGCTGCAGCAGCGCCTCGGCCCCGTAGGGCAGGGTCCCCTCGTCGTCCTGGATGACCGACACCACCTGCTTGGCCCTGCGGCGCCGCTCGGCCGCCGGCTCGGCCTCGGGCTGCCCGCTGTACTCCTCACTCCAGTCGATGGGCAGGCCCTCTCCCAGCAGGTGCAGGTTGGGATCGCTGTTGTGCATCACCATGCTGTCCCTGTACAGGTTGTGCTTCCGCTGCACGGCCGCCTCCTTCACAGCTGGGGACAGGGGGGACAGGTCACGGGGGCTGCTGGCACTGCCAGGCTGGGACACCGTGCCCAGTCCTCCCCGTGGGGAAGCCAGGTGGGAAAGCTGCTCCTGGGGCAGCCCCCAGCACCCTGTACGGGGTCACCCCTCCTTACTGAGCCCCCAGCACCCTGTACGGGGTCACCCCATCCCATACAGCCCTGAACTGATCCCCTTAATGGGATCACCACTCCTGAGAGACCCCCTGAGGGTCACCTCCTCCTCACATGGGACCCTACCTTGCATGATGTCTTTCATCACCGACTGCAGCACCACCTCCTCGTAGGTGTTCTCCACCAGGATGAAGCTGGCAAAGTCCTCGAAGATCAGCTCCTGAAACTTGGCTAATTCCTGCCAGGGATAGAGGTGGCTCAGCCCAGCAGGTTGGGGGGAATGGATGCTCCAGCCCCTCCACGGGGGTGGACAGTCCTTCCCCGTACCCCAAACTTCCCCCTCTTACCCCCTTGCAGGTGGGGGCCAGCTTTCTCAGCAGGAAGGGGATGGTGATCTGCAGCAGCGCCTCCCTGAAGAACTTCTTCCTCACAGTGCTGCTGTCATAGTCAAATTTCTGCAGGGTGAGAAGGTGCCCAGGTCACCCAGGGCTGTGGGCTGGCAGCCCCCTCCTCAAGGGCACAAACCCCTGAGATTTGCCCCCCAGCCCATTTGCACAGAACACTCCCCTCTGGCCTCACATCCCTCTGTCCAGCTGTTTCCCAGTGTTTCTGAGCCCAGGTAGGAGCCAGCTCTTCCACTGCTGGCTGCAGGAGGGTTTGGGGGCCAGTCTGAACCCTGGGGGACTTTAACAGGTATGGTCACAGGGGTCCAGGCTCCTCCAGGTCATTTCCCACTTGCCTGCCCCCAGCAAAATCCATGAAAACCTCAATATAAAGAAGTATTTCCTCACAAGACTTGTTGAAATAGGCAACATCACTCCTGGCCTCTTCCCTGGCCAAGGGACAAGGCCACCAAAGGCCACCAAAGGCCCTGAGCCCTTGGCTCACCTTGAGCACCCTCTCGAGGATGCGCTGGATGGATTTGCACAGGTCGTCCTTGCCCTGCAGCTTCCCCAGCTCCTGGTGCAGCAGGGTCTCGAAGGTGTGCACGGCATTGTCCATTTGCTGTGACCAGAGGCACGTGGTCAGCGTGGGGGGCACCCAAAGGGTGGGCAGGGGGCTCTTGGGGCACTGCCACACCGAGATGAGCCTTAGCACAGAACCCCACTCTGGTTTGGGGGGGAAGGGACCTTAAAATCATCCAGTGTCACTCCTGCCATGGCAGGGACACCTCCCACCATCCCAGGCTGCTCCCAGCCCTGTCCAGCCTGGCCTTGGGCACTGCCAGGGATCCAGGGGCAGCCCCAGCTGCTCTGGGCACCCTGTGCCAGGGCCTGCCCACCCTGCCAGGGAACAATTCCTGCCCAATATCCAACAGGCAAAGAGCCTTCACTCTGGAGAAATCCCTGACATCCCAGCGTGGCATTCACAGCCCTCACTCCGAGGATCAGGGGTGTTGGGAGAGGAGGGTGCTCAGAGCTGGTTTGCGCCCCCTGATCCTCCTTACACCCCACTCCAGGCTGGGCTGGACCAGACCCCAGAATTGGCTTACTGGCCTTGCTGCTGCCAGAATGCCCAAGCCCACCATGGGCTCCAGACCAAAGGGGCTCCGTCCACCCTTCAGACAGCACAGACATCCCAGCCTGGGCTGGACCAGCCAGGGCTCCCCAAACCTCTGTTCCCAGCCCAGGGGGACAGGGGGGGGACTCTGGTCCCCATCCCACCTGTCTCATGTGGATCTGGGCCCTCTGCTTAAAGACGGACGTGCTGGAGACATCGAATCGCTGCTGAAGACCCTCCAGCTTCAGCTGGTCCATCTTCTCATAGCACGACTGCATCTTCACGGGGTGGAAGGCCAGGTGGGAGAGCTTCTCCATGTACTGGGGACAAAGCCAAGCTCAGCCTCTCCACGTACTCAGGGCAGGGACATTCCACCCCACATGGGTGGAACCTTCTCAGCCTGCGACCCACACTGGGGGTGGCAGCAGGACTGGCCCTGTCACCCGTGAGCTGGCAAGGAGCACCACCAGGTCTCACCTCCACCAGCTTCTCCAGGCCTCCCTCGTTGACAACGTTCATGTTCATGTCAGTCACCTCCTTGAAGAACACCTCCCGCACCTCGGCGAAGCCCTGGCTCGTGGGGGTCATCAGGGCCTCCAGGATGGAGGAGATGTAGGGCTGGACGTGGTTACGGACACAGACCTCCGCCTTGGGCAGGACAAAGGCTGGGAAAGAGCAGTGATAAGGATGGTGAGGCTCCTCTGTCCTTCCAGCCCTTCACAGCACGTCCTAAACCACCCCAGGGAGGAGGAGCTGCCCCTGTTCCCAAGCCCTGCCAGGAGGAGGCTCCCTCTTTCATGACAACACAAGGAATTCCTGCAGAGTGTCCCTGCTCTGTACTGATCCCATTCCTGCCACACTTGGGGGGGGACTGCGCACCTCGTCCTCCACCTCCTGGGACAATGCCATGAAGGGTGCCAGGGGCTGTGC